GGTTCTCCCTTGGTCTTCAAAGAGTGTAGAAGAAAAAAGAGGTCAGAAGTGAAAAATATGCTTTTGGGAGCGTTAGAGCGTTCTATTTATAGGCATCAGGAGTGGCCAGAACGGCCCGTTCTAGACTCACTCGTCATGTTTAAATTTCACATTCAGAACGACCTGTTCCAAAATTAGAACGGCCCATTCTGAAATCACATTTTACCTACAACGGGCATATCTGGAACGACCTGTTCCCAAATCGCGAAACAGCTCGTTCTGGCTTCGCATTTTACTCATAAAATCCTGAGTTGGAACGGCCTGTTCCAATATAGTCTTTATAGGTCATTTTAGTAGTTTGGAACGGCTCGTTCCAGTTTGGGAACGACCCGTTTTGGGCTACTAAAAATCAAAATATTTTTCAAAAATAATTTTCATAAATATAAAAATAAATAATAATTAACCCTTATACTAGTAAAAAATTTGGGATGTTACACCTAACGTGCTTCAACCCAATTTTCTCTAAACTTTCTTATTATATTATTTTAGTTATTGTTATTTAATTTTATTATTTATTAATGTTGATCGAGATGGAATTTCAGTGATAAATAATATATATTTTAATTTCTATTTCTATGTTTCCAACACTTTTTTTTAACCTCCCAACACAAGATTTTGGATAATAGTAATCATCAAATTGTTATAAATGATTATTAAGCATGTTTGGGTTGATGCATACGCTAACACCCTATTATATTAGACACAATGTTTTACTAACTATTTACTTATTTGTTGTTATAAAAATGAAGGTAAATTTTTTGTGTTTATTAAAAAAGATATTATTACCATAAAATATGAAGGACCATGAATATGAACTCATATTACGAACAAATACAATGAAAATACATAGTAACATTCCCACCCATATATCACAAAACTTAACTAGATCAATACAAAAATTCTATCCTACCCCATACACATGTATAAGTGAAAATAGTCTTTTAAATGTATTTTCCTAACGGTCTTCTCAATCTTCTCGACATTTGTGTTGTTAAATTAACTTGATCACTATGCTTTGTCGTTATCTTCATGTATATTCATTGGGGTACATGCACAAAAGGAAAAGAGAAACATAGGAGTGAAGATTTAATGATATCGACTTACATATATACTAAGGGTAAGGATACTAACCAAAGATATTCAAGACTTTATGACGAAAACTAGAATTAGTTCTAGTTATACTTACTGGAATTGACTCTATTAAATATGAAGGTAAGAGTACTTACCATAAGACACACATGGCTCTAGGTAAGAACTAGAATTTGCTCTAGTTGTACTTATTTGACATTGGCATAGTATGAATCCATACTTCCTCATTTAGGAAGTGATTAGGAGTACATATGTCCCATCCCAAAAATCATACGATTCCATCCTTTAGATGAATCTCAATATATCAATACGGGACACTTCATTCCTTGTCTAAATTTGGGACATACTCTCACACCAATTTTAGAATGCTAGAGCAATTGTAGGGGGTTGCAAAGTTGGATAGTGGAGATTCTAGTACAAGGTGCTACCTTGACCCTTAGCTTTCTCAACCACCTGACACCTTAACTCTAAGGTATATTTCCACTAGTGTGAGACCCACGTGTCTTTAATCCTTTAGTTTTACCAAGCTGTAACTTGTAGTGCAAGGCGCCATGTCGTCACATGTCCCTCACATGATCGTATATCGTAAACATCTCTTTCAAAGAATTTCTCACTCAGTCACTTTGAGCACTAATCCTTAACAATATACCCTTATTCTTAGGGATTTCTCACATAATACGTTAGTGTCAAGATACAACAATATCAATCCACAATCATATATTCAATCATTATAGTAAAAATTGAGGATAAATAGTTTAGTGGAAAGAAAATATTGAAACTATGGTTTTCTATATTTTCATTAAGTTTGAAAAGACATATATCAATACATTTATTTATAAAAGAAATTATAACTATCTAAAATAACAACTTATTTAATAATTCTAATCTTGGAAAATTAATTGTACTAGTAAGACCATTCGGTCACCAGGTGGCCGATACTCTATCGGCATCCGGACGGCCGAACCAGGTGGCCGATTGAGTATCGGCCACCAGATGATCCATAAGCTCAGATCCCTCCTAATAAAAAATTAAGGATTATCCCTAATCAAGAGTTAAGAGCTAATCACACCAATATACGGATTAGAGGCATATTACCTAATACGGTAATCCTGTTGCAGGGCCCATGGGAGTCCGGGCCCATCAATGTCAGTATAATAGCTCATGTCACGAGGTAACGTCACTGTTCATTAATTACTATCGATATCTGTGCTTTGTTCTGATTTGAGCGTCGGAGTGCCTTTTGCAGGTACCTCCCACTATCCGGAATATTCGATTGGAGCACTCGTTCGACCCTCAGAATACGAGAAGATTACTAGTGTGCCCTTTTGACAGGTACATTTTGGCGCCCACCGTGGGGCCAAACTGAGACATTTGTGAAGATTAACTGAGCAATGGCGATAACAAGGAGAACGAACACGGAAGATCACCAGACGGAAGAGGAAGAACGTGTCGAGGTCGTAGATAAAACCGATCTCTCTGAGACCGTTCGTCTGTTGAAGCAAGAGATGGAAATAATGAAGTAACAGCGGGAGAAGGATGCAAAGGAGCTTTCGGCCTTGAAAGCCGAAAATGAAGCATTGAAAAATCAAGATCCATCATGGAAACCTACTCATACCACCAACACACAAACTCAAGGGTCCTATCAATCCCACGAGATCCACACCTCGGCCCCTCATGCGTCGGCGATAGCACCCGAAAAGTTCCCCTCGGCCCTACCCACAATTGGTCGTAATACCGACTTGGCAATTGTTGGATCGCACCAACACCCCTTCACCACTTCCATTATGCAACTCCCTCTCATGGACAACTGGAAATCTTTGCCCATTGATAAGTATGACGGTACAACTGATCCTGATGAACATCTTGATATTTTTCTGACACAGGTAATGTTGAGTACCACCGATGATGCTGCTTTGTGCCAAATCTTCCCAACATCCCTCAAAGGCAGGGCTTTGAGTTGGTTCACTCGGCTACCGCCCAATTCGATCGACTCGTTCAACACGTTGTCATCTTAATTTACCATCCAGTTTGGAACGAGTTGTCCTCACAGCTTAACGTCTCTATCGCTGGTCGGCCTTCGACAGGACAAGAAGGAATCGCTTCGGACGTTCATGGATCGGTTTAACAAGGCAGCCTTGGAAATCCGAGACCTCAATCCCGCCGTTGCACTCCATCACCTCACAATGACCTTAAAACCTGGACCATTTGTCAATAGCATTTGCAAAAAACCTCCTTCGGACATGCACGACCTACGGAGGAGAGCTGATAGATATATACAAATGGAGGAGTTGGTCGAATACCGCAATCAAGCTCGAGTTGAACCAGTAGGAAAACCTGAAAAACAAGCAGAACAACCATACAGGGGGCGAGGCAAGGAGCTAACTCTTCGGGACCGACCTACACGGGGTCCAAAGTACACTCATTATACTTCCCTCAATGCAAGCCGAGCCGCGGTGCTTGAGCAAGCTCTCACATCAGAAGTGCTGGCAGTCCCGAAGAGAGCTTCCACTCCACCACGCGTCGATACTAGTAAATCTTGCCGGTATCACCGGAATCGTGGACACTCTACCGAGGAGTGTGTGGCTCTCAAAGACAAAATAAAAGATTTAATCAAGCAGGGGCAGCTTCATAATTTTGTTGATCGGCCCGACTCGTCTCGGTCTCGCCAATATCAACCTCGACATGACCGACATAGGCAAGATCGCTCTGACACACCTCGCCGTGAACGAAGCCGATCATGAGATAGGAAAGATGAGCCTACAGCTTCACATAGGCGAGTCATCAACATGATTGCAGGTGGGTTTTCCAGAGGAGGCCCGACCTCTTCAGCCCAAAAGAGACATCTGCGCACCGTTCGGTCAATCAACGTTGTGGACAAACAGCCTACTCGGAGACTACCAACTATAACTTTCACCGATGCCGATTTCCAAGGCATTGACCCTGTGCAAGACGATCCAATGGTAATTAGTGTCAAAATTCACAATTGCATAGTGAAGAAAACATTGGTAGATCAGGGCAGCTCGGCAGACATTTTGTATTAGAACACCTTCAAGCAGTTAGGCATCTCAGAGAAGGAGCTCATTCCATATGATGATCCCCTAGTCGGCTTCTCGGGCGAAAGAGTAAGCACTAAGGGATACATTAAGCTTTTTACTCGTTTCTATTTTGACGAGCAGGAGTATAAGGAAATCCAAGTGAAGTATATAGTAGTGCACGCCAACACGTCCTACAATATTCTTCTAGGTCGGCCATCGTTGAACATGTCGGGAGCTATCGTATCTACGCCACATTTGGCAATGAAGTTTCCATCCGACAAGGGAAAAATCCTTACAATTCATGCCGATCAGAAGGCAGCCCGAGAATGTTACTTCGCTAGCTTGCGAGTAACCCCTGTTGAAGAAAAACAATCAAAGTCAAAGAGAGTTCATGTAGTAAATCCTTCAGCATCAGATAAACCCCCAACCTGGGATTTAGATCCAAGAATGAATGAAGATGAACGAATGGAGTCAATCAGGGAGAAAGTTGCATTACAAATCGGCCTAGAAACTTTTCAAGTCACATACTTGGGGGCCGGATTGCCTGAATTGGATCGCCACGCATTAGGCAAGTTCATTTAGAAAAATAAGGATCTTTTCGCATGGGTACCCTCGGATATGCCCGGCATAGATCCAAAGGTTATGTGTCACAAGCTGTCCGCTTGCCGAGAAGCTAAACCAATTGCTCAACGGAAGAGGAAGATGGGCACCGAAAGAAAACTGGCTGTTGAAAAGGAAGTTGCCAAATTACTTGAAGCAAAATTCATTCGGGAGATACAATATACAACATGGCTCGCAAACGTGGTTATGGTCAAGAAGGCAAACGGGAAATGACAGATGTGTACGGATTATACTAATCTGAACAAAGCCTGCCCGAAGGATGCCTACCCATTGCCCAATATTGATCGTCTAGTTGATGGTGCCTCTGGGCACAACATGTTGACGTTTCTTGATGCCTATTCCGGGTACAATCAGATTCAAATGCATCCGCACGATGAGGAGAAGACCGTTTTCATCACTGACTCGGCTAACTATTGTTATCGGGTAATGCCATTCGGCTTAAAGAACGCCGGTGCCACATATCAATGACTCATGAACAAGATATTCAAATGTCAAATCGGCAAGAATATGGAAGTTTATGTGGATGATATGGTCGTCAAGTCAAATGACCTCCACAACCATATCACGGACTTGGTCGAGGTATTCCAGCAGCTTCGGCGGTACGATATGAGAATCAATCCTAAAAAATGCATATTCGAAATAGCGGGCGGCAAGTTTCTTGGCTTCATGCTTTCGGCTAGAGGTATCGAAGCCAACCCTGATAAATGCTGAGCGGTGATCTAAATGAGAAGTCCAAAAAATTTAAAAGAGGTATAACGATTGGCCGACAGGCTCACAGCATTGTCAAGATTTCTTCCATGCCTCAAAGGTAGCCAAACCAATCTTGGGTCTTTTGAGAAAAATGAACAAGTTCACAAGGTCGGAAGAATGTGAAGCGGCTTTTTAAACACTGAAACAGCGTCTCGGGACGCCTCCAATCCTCTCAAAGCCCGACCCTCAGTCAGACCTCATTGTTTACATGTGCGTTTCACATGAAGCCATTAGCGCAGTCTTGATCCAAGAAAAAGAAACTCAAGTACCTATCTATTTTATCAGTCGCATGTTGCAGGAATCGGAAAGTAGGTACCAATTGCTGGAAAAGGTGGCACTCGGACTCGTTCACACGGCTCGCAGACTTCGGCAATACTTTCAGGGACACAAGATTGTGGTTCGCATTGATTGTCCGATCGCTAAAGTATTGCGGAAGCCCGAACTGGCAGGGCGAATGATGGCATGGTCTATTGAGCTTTCGGAATTCGACATATCATTCGAACCTAGGGGGCCGATTAAGTCACACTACTGGGCTGAATTCATCAATGAGTTACAGCCTAACGGTCAATTCCAGAGTGATCAATGGACAATGCATGTCGACGGCTCTTCCAACAATACAAGTAGCGGAGCAGGCATCATTCTTGAAGGGCCCATGGGGGTAACCCTTGAACAATCCATGCTTCGAGCCTCTAACAATCAGGTCGAATACGAAGCACTGTTAGCAGGAGTAAGGTTGGTAGGCGACATTGGGGTCCGGAGATTGATTTATTGGACAGACTCACAGATCGTATCGGAACAGGTTAATAATCATTTCCAAGTCAAAGATCCAAATCTACTTCGTTACTATCACATGTTCCATAACATGTGTTCCAACTTCGATGAAGTACAAGTACGACACACGCCAAGGGAAAATAATGAAAGAGCCGATCAACTGGCCCGATTGGTAAGCAGTGCTCGAAAACCAGGCCAGCTCAGAACTACCCTGCACCTCGAGTTACCTACTCCAAGCATAACCTCAACCAAAAGCATGATAGTGGAAGAGACAAGTTCGATAGCATCCAATGCAACATGGATAACAGAACTCCTTGACTTCATTGTACATGGCAAGGAGCCCGCCAAACCCTTGTCTGCTAAAAAACTTCGAACTCAAGCTGCTAGATACTCGGTCATCGGTGGTGAATTGTACAGAAGGGGTTTCTCAACCCCGTTGCTCAAATGCTTAGACTCGGCCCAAGCCGATTATGTATTACGAGAAATTCACCAAGGTATTTGTGGATCACATTCGGGTGGTCAGACTCTCACAGCAAAAGTATTAAGAGCAGGTTATTATTGGCCAACCCTCAAGAGTGACTGTGCGCAGTTCGTAAAGCGATGTGTTCAATGTCAAAAGCATGGTAACCTAATCCATGCCTCGGCTGAGCAACTACATAGCATCAGTTCGCCATGGCCGTTCGCTCTATGGGGGATGGACTTGCTCGGCCCATTCCCTATAGCCAAGGGTCAATGCAAATTCTTGTTGGTAGCAGTTGATTACTTCACGAAATGGATTGAAGCCGAGCCACTTGCCACAATCACAGTAAATAATGTTCAAAAATTTCTCTGGAAGAACATTATTACACGTTTCGGAATACCATACGCCATCATCACTGATAATGGACTCCTGTTTACCGACCAAAAACTCAACAAATTCATGACCGATATGGGGATTTGACACCGATTTAACTCTGTTGAGCACCCACAATCAAATGGGCAAGCCGAAGCAGCTAATAAGGTTATTCTCACCGAACTGAAGAAACGCTTGGGTGATGCCAAAGGAGCTTGGGTTGAAGAATTGTTGGAAGTATTATGGGCTTACCGGTGCACGCCACAGTCAACCACAAGAGAAACACTCTTCTGCTTAACATATGGTACCGATGCCATGATTCTTGTAGAAGTCGGAGAACCTTCATTTCGGCGCACTCATTTCGACGAGAGCTCAAACGAAGACTCTATCCGAGCTAAAATCGATACGGTGGAAGAAACACGTAATCAAGCCCAAGTAGTTGCAGAGGCATGTCGGTAGAGGATGACTCAGAGATTTAACACAACACTAGACAAGAGAGAATTCAAAGAGGGTGACCTTGTATGGAGAGTCCAAGGAACGGCCCGCCAAAATCCACGCGAAGGCAAACTGGCAGCTAATTGGGATGGTCCGTTTCGAATTCGGCACAATCTCCACAACGGAGCATACAAGCTTGAAGAGCTCTCAGGCAAAGTCATTCCATGAACTTGGAACTCGACTCACCTGAAGACGTATTTTAGCTAGAAATTTCTGTAAAGACAAAGAAATCATCAATGGACATGCATGGTGCACTCTTTTCCTTGATCGGTCTTTTCTCCCCTTATAAAAAAGTGAAAAGGGGTTTTGGCCGACAAGGTTTTTAACGAGGCACCCATCAATGAAATGCAATTTTACTCATTATATTCTTTTAAGTCAAATTTATTTAAAAAGAGGCTTCCCTCCCGAGTGACCCCACTCGGCCAAGGATGTGCCTTCGGAATTCGTATAAAGAGGCTTCCCTCCTGAGTGACCCCACTCGGCCAAGGATGTGCCTTCAGAATTCGTATAAAGAGGCTTCCCTCCCGAGTGATCCCACTCGGCCAAGGATGTGCCTTCGGAATTCGTACAAAGAGGCTTCCCTCCCGAGTGATCCCACTCGGCCAAGTGATGGAGGTGAGTAGAAGAAGTGAAACACAAACTCCTTCTAAGCTCCTCCTAGGCTCGGATCTTCTTCAATGGAGATTAAGACACACTTGATGAACACGTAGAGATGAAGAACTCTTGCGGAAATGGAAGAAGGAAGTATCCAAGCTCAAATTCTCAAGGGATTGCACACTTCAAAGTGTAGGAATCTAGGTTTTCCTAATGGTTTTGAAGGCACTCTCTTAAGGTTTTCTCTCTTGGAAACTTCGGTGACTCTTGAGGGAATTAGCTGAAGATTGAATTCAGAAATTCTCATATATTCAAAAGTGAATACAAAAATGTGAAAGAACACTTAAGTAAGCACGGTTTTGCACTCTTTGGGCGCCTAAATCAAAAGATGACATGTGGCGCCCAAAATTTGAATTCAAATTTGAAATTTGAATTCAAATTTTGGCTCCCATGTGCTACTCCGAAAATTCAGGTACCTAAGGTGCATCTAAGTGTAATTTGGAGTGTCATTTAGGGTTAATTTGAGGTCACATGTTCAGCCACCAAAGGTGCAAAACATGTGACTCAAATGTAACTTAAATGGCTTCCAAATTAAACCTAATTTAACCTAATTAGCCTACTTTAGTATTCCTTGTATTTTCCTATTCTAATGACCTAAATACATTGGTCCAACAAATACAATGGAAAGGAAAAATTACAAGAATGAAAATGAGCCCAATATTGGGTACCAAAAGCCCAAAGGCCCATGAAGCCCAAAACTAGGCCCAACTAGCCTATAACCTAAAATGCTACTCTATATGGTCCAAAATACAAGACCAAAATATATTCAAACTAGGTTAACAAAAATATAATAAGGATGTTAATAACAAGATAGGCCCATGTTGAAACTTGGTTTGGGCCTTCCAAGCCTATAGGGCCCATTGGGCCTGGACTGGCCCAATCTTCCATGTCTAGCCCACTCCTCTTGGATCTTTAAGTATGTCACCTCTTGCACTCCAAAGCATGATTCCATCACCAAGGATGTGCCTTCGGAATTCGTACAAAGAGGCTTCCCTCCCGAGTGACCCCACTCGGCCAAGGATGTGCCTTCGGAATTCGTACAAAGAGGCTTCCCTCCCGAGTGACCCCACTCGGCCAAGGATGTGCCTTCGGAATTCGTACAAAGAGGTTTCCCTCCCGAGTGACCCCACTCGGCCAAGGATGTGCCTTCGGAATTCGTACAAAGAGGCTTCCCTCCCGAGTGACCCCACTCGGCCAAGGATGTGCCTTCGGAATTCGTACAAAGAGGCTTCCCTCCCGAGTGACCCCACTCGGCCAAGGATGTGCCTTCGGAATTCGTACAAAGAGGCTTCCCTCCCGAGTGACCCCACTCGGCCAAGGATGTGCCTTCGAAATTCGTACAAACAGGCTCCCCTCCCGAGTGAGCCCCACTCGGTCGAGGATGTGCCATTCAGTTATTGCTTAAAAAGCAATCAATTCCGAATGAGTCCATTCGAATTTAACTCAAAAAGCAAGCAATTCCGAGTCAAACTACTCGGCTGTTGCTCAAAAGCAATCAATTCCGAATGAACCCACTCGGCATTGCTCAAAAATGCAAGGAATCCGAGTCCATTTGATCGATAACTTAGTCAATATGCGTTAGTTATTCCGATTCAACCAAAATTACTTTTCATTAATAAAGGAAATAAGGCTCTATCGGCTAGTAGTACAAACAAAATAAGAAAGCTCTATCGGCCTTTAATACAAAAAGAAGAAGAGAAGTTTCAAACACGATCACTCGTCAGGGTTGGTGGCAGCGTCCTCTTGCGTTTCGGGCTCGTCCTCCTGATCGCGGTTCGGCTCTTCCCGCTTGGTTTCAGCCTCACCGTCCGAAGCGCCCTGAGTCTCCTCCTCTTCGAGGGCATCGTTCGGCTCATCACTATCAGGGACGACCCCCTCGGGCATATCTTTGAAAGACATGAAAGACCCTTGGTAGAAATCTTTTGACATGTCAAATTCAAAGTCCTCTCTAAAATGACCGAAGTGTCGCGCTTGCCGAAGAGCATGGCGAAATTTGGCTTCATGCTGAGCAACGATACGATCCTTGGCTTGCTCTTTTAGCCGCTCCAGCTCGGCCTTTGCCTCTTCCACTCGGCGCTTTTCTTCATTCGCTGCTTTTTGCATGTCCAGTCGAAGAGTGTCGTTGTTGCGCCGCTGCACATCCAACTCGGCCGCAAGCTTTCGAGTCTTAGCCAAAGCTTCCTCGACTGTTGCCATAGCCTCGGCCGTTGCCTTATTGGCCTCCTCAACTCTTTGCCTTAATTGAACCAACTCGCCGATTGGCTCCATGGCGAGGTGGTGCGTGAGTACTAGTGACCGAGACTGCACCTCACAAAAATATTTCCACTTGGCCACAGTATCCAACTGGCCTAAAAACTCGCGACCATGCTCTGAGATGACATCTGGCCAAACCAGCGAGTCGGCAGAAACATCCTCACTCAAGAAGGCCCTGGACATCATCATGGGGGGCACACAAATCACTGTCCCACCCGGGGAGGACGTAGTATGTTTTGATTTCTTGGTCTTCTCCGGCCTCTCCTCGTTGCTCTTTCGCTTCGGGCCCTCCTGAGCAACCTCCTTCCCTTTCTTCCCTCTTCGGTGCTTGCGGTTCGGGGAGGGAACGTTTCGATTATCCTGCACTGGATGGGGAGTTTGGGCAATAGCCGAACTGCCCACAACCCCAGAAGCTTTAGCTTGTTGCACCCGGCCGGCCAGAAGGTCGCGGATGTTAAACTCGTTGGCCCCACTTGCCACCATGATTCCTGCAAAAATAATCAAGTGAACATTAATATGAATTTAGCTTAAGGCCGTAATGGGAAAGTCACATACCGATCAAATCATTCTCCCAATGGGGAGATTCAACTACATTTATTAGTGACCTCGTCGGCAAGCGCCGAGGGAGGCGAAGCAAAAATTGCAAATCCTTCTGCTCTTCGACTGTGAGAAGCTCATCCGGCACCTCATCATAAGGCCGAGGGGCACGTGTCCAATACAGTGGAAACAAACTCCTATCGTCGCCCCCGAAGAAAAATCGACGTCCATTCGGACGAATAGTTACACGGAAGAATCCAGCCTTGAAATTCTTATATGATGAAGTAAAGCTATCTAGAAGTTGCCTAGTCCCCACTTGGTTAAGTGACACCCACTTCGCCAAATCCGATGGCCTAGATGAATAAAAATAAAGAAATAACAAGGGTGAAGGCCGAATGCTTAGGCATCGGCACAGATGCTTAAACCCTTGCAGTTGAGCCTAGCTGTTCGGGTGAAGTTGGGTTGGAGCCACATTCAAAGTCCTCAATACTCCCATGGTAAACTCATCAAACGACAGCTTCACTTTCAAATCTCGCAAAAGGCAGTCGTACATATAAAAGGATTCCATCTTCTCGGCACTCTTGTCCAAACAAACTATGTCAGGGTTCGGGAAGGCATTATTTCGGCAAGCCCGAACCCCAATCGGATATGGCTCCTCCCTGGCATCAAAAGCCAAACACTTTGTATATTCTAGCAAATTCGTAATCATTGTGGCATCTCGGTAACAGGAATAATATGAAGTTACTTCTCCGTTCACCCATTCGTATCCCGGTACTTCGGACGACCCATATTTTTGCCGATTGGAGACGCGTTTAACTCTAATCGGCTCTTCACTTCCACTGGTTGAAGTCTCTTCGGATGTACTCACACTTTCGCTGGACCTTTTGTCCTCATTCGGCGAGGGTATCTCCATACGTGAATGACCCGAAGCCCTAGACGATGACCCCTTGGATGATGATGACCGAGCCCCACTAGCCGAAGAGCTCTCGGAAGAAGCAGCCGTAAAATCAAACTTACTAAATATGAGACGTTGAAACAGTCACTCGGCGTGCGTAGCTGGATCTGAGATTGCTCGAACACAGTTCAACTGAGAGTGATACGCGTGAGTGGCCCTACCACGTCATCACTATATATAGCAAAGGAAAAAGGCGGGAAAATGCAAAAATTTCAAAAGTATAACTGCCTCATCTTCAAGATCCAACGATGGAGATTGTCCTAACCTTTCGACTTCCCACGTACCTTAACTTCACCTCTCTACCCTCGCAAAAGGTACCCCTTTTCCAAGGCTGGGGGGAAAGTGTACTAGTAAGACCATTCGGCCACCAGGTGGCCGATACCCTATCGGCATCCGAACGACTGAACCAGGTGGTCGATTGGGTATCGGCCACCAGATGATCCATAAGCTCAGATCCCTCCTAATCAAAAATTAAGGATTATTCCTAATCAAGAGTTAAGAGCTAATCACACCAATATACCGATTAGAGGCATATTACCTAATACGGTAATCCTGTTGCAGGGCC